AGAGAGAGAGAGAGAGAGAGAGAGAGAGGGGGCAGTAGTGTTGGTTTTGCTAGAGAGAGGGGAGACCGGCCCTTGTGTTCCGTTTTAGAGAGAGATAGAGACGCTAGTGGTTAGGGTTTAGAATGTGCTACTAGACAGAGAGAGAGAGAGAGAGAGAGCTAATCAAATCTAGAGAGAGAGAGAAGAAGAAGATAGGGGAAGCGGCAGAGGGACGTTAGAGAGAGAGAAGTTTATCACAAGTTGATGGAAAATTTGCGACAGTTATCAAGTACGGGATAGTAGCAAACACTTCAAAAAAGATAGTATGCTAAATACTACCTAACGGGACGTGCCTTGCACGACGTTTTTCCAACTTCCAACTACGGGACTTAGACCAAATTACAATTTATTAATTATTTTAAAATATAATACAACATATTATTTATTGAAAAAGGTTTATATAAGGTGTCAACTTTTTATTATAGATGTAAAGTGCCAGCAAAAATTTATCTAGAAAGGTTGTATTGATGCCAAAAAAAAATCCTACAATTGATCATCACACGACATCTACAAGTATGGATATGAAATAAATGAATTTCAAGTTCTAAAAACAGTGTGTTTTGTAATACATTATTTAGAATGTCCATTTACAAAAAAAATTAAATGTTTATCGATATGCTTGAAATACATAGATCTTTAAATTTCACAATTATAGGTGAAAACATATTAGGAAAGGGCTTCTATGAGCCCCCATACTTATATATAAAAATGCAGTAACCTATTTTTTAAATAGATTTTGCCCCTGATTTTAAAGAATTATATAATTTATAACACAGAGATCATCAATATATAAAATAAAATTTTCAAACTAAAAATAATAATTTTTGAAAAGAAATATTTGGACAATTGGTTTTAGGTGTTCCTTCAAGGGATTACCATTTACATCCATCCAAGACGGATGGCATATGCCTTGGGGGATGTAAATACAGGAATTATGTCCCTCTAGCGCATGTACGACTTTTCCGGTGGATCATTAGGCCATTGAGAGAGTTTTTAGCACCTGAATCGCATCTTTAACAAGATTTAGAGGTACCTTTTATTTTGATTATTTAAGATGATGCTTGTATAAATCGTAGCGTTAGTTTTTTATTTTTTATCTTTTTCTTGAAATTTCCTTTATGTTAATTAAATTTTTTTTAAAAAAAATGTATAGTAATATAAAAATTTGTTTTATTTCCTTGTTACTTCATGTATTTTCTAACATCAACTTGTTTTGCTGAGATAGATATCTAATTGTATTAACGGGACTTTTGAGTGTTTTTAGGATTTTTATCTCATAGGGAAGCAAAGTATTTGAGGAAAATGATATTTAGTATATTACTTTTGTACTTGTTACTTAATTTTAAGTTGTAAAGTAATACATTGTATTGTATCTTAAGGGCCACAAAAACCCAACAGGTCCCCTCTAAAAGTTGTGTTGTATAAATAGCAACAAAATTGAAAAGGTGAAACTAATCAAATTTATGAATGAAGAAAAAAAAGTAACAAAATGCTCAAGCAAATCTAAATATTTGAATCTCACATTCAATTTATAGATGCATAAATCTTTAGTTGTCACTAATCTCTCTCTTGCTCTTTATAATGATGATTTGGGTTTAGAGAAAATGAAGATTTTTCATTCGGTATTCTTCCTTGTACTCTCTACCTCTTATTTATAAGATATATGATTATTTTGATATATTATTTTTTTAGAATATATTGCTCGTAATTTTTGATATACTTCTTTTTAGGGAACATGTTGATCAAGATTCTTACTGAGTCATACTTTAAAAGGTCTTATCTCCAAAAGAAAGTCCAAAGATATTAAATAAGTAAAGAGAATGGAAGTTAATAAAGTTATTGGGAGAAGTCCTTTTAAATTGTTTTTTGAGAAATAATCAAATACAGATTTATGTCCGTTCGGTTAGAAAAAATACATTATTTGAAAATATTTGAAAAACTCGGAGTTTCTAATGGATTTCAAAAAATCAAAGATTTTTAGAAAAAATCATTTTTTAATTGGAGACTTTCTAACTATTGCTACGATTTCATTCTTTTTTTCTTTATTTTTCTTTTTTGTTCTCCTTTCCTTTTTTCTGCCTTCCTTGCTTCAAAAGGGATCTTTTAGGTGGGAAAGCACAACTCCTTGGTCTCTTGCAGGAGCACCAAAAGTTTTTCCTTTTTTGTTATGAAATTTCGTGATTTTCAATATGATGAAAATTTTGAAGTTCGGCCAGGATGGTTTAGGCATGTGAGAAAAAACGCAGGGGTAGTTGGTCGGTTTGTACTTTGTACTTTGACGGATCATTTCTTTTTGTCCTTTTTTTTTTCAATTGCGATAAATTTGCGAGTCCTAAAAATAGATAATATTGTTAGGTTTTGCCCATAATGCCAATTCTTTTAAATCTCAATTATAAATCATTGCCCATGCTTTTAAGCGGCGATTTAAAAATGGTTTATATGAGAGTCGGACCTCCGGTTTGAGGCACCCCGTATCTCTCCGAGTCGAACCAACAATCAAAATCAGAATCAAACCCTTAACGATTCACCCTCGACGATTTAAGGTACATTTTTTATTTTAAAGGGCCGTTTGGATACCTGAAAATATATTGTTTGTGAAATATATTACTCGCGTAATACATTAACTGCAAATGGAGTGTTTGAGTAGTATTTAGATGCAACCATTTGTTAATGTTTGGGTAGTATTTAGATGCAACCTGAAAAATACATCGTTACCGTTTGGTTATGTCTTGAACTGTCTGGCTGTATCTTGAAGAAATATGGGAAATGCATTGCCAACATTATACGAGCACTTGCTTATAAACTATCAATTTTTTTTTTGTCATAAAAATACCACCGAAATGTTGAATTAAAGTCATTATCACATGATTCAAAAAAGACTTTCTAATAATAATATCATCACCGTTCAAAAAAGATTTTCTAATGATAACTTGTACCATTCTAAAGTCATCATCACATAAGTTCTTACTTATTTTGCATGCCTTTGACACTTACATGGAATCTCATGTCTTCTAACACACAATTAGACTTTGGTTTCAACATGATAAGTGATTGAAATAATATGATTTGAATAACATGTTGTGATAACCCTTATTTTTATTTATTTTTTATAGAAGTCTTTCAAATGTCTATCTATATAATTTCAAATAAGCAATAAATTTATGATGCCAAATTAAAAATTTTTATGGCAAAAGTTAAAAAACGAAAAGAAGTTTGATTAGTAAACTAGAAGGTTTGGTAGTTGCAGTAGAAAATTTTGAGGTATTGGAGGAAACTAAAGAGGTATCTTATTTCAATTGAGTTTTACTAATCTCATATGAGGTTTATGTTGGGCGAAATTTTTTATTATAATTGTGTTGTGTAATTTCTTACTTTGGGTGAAATTTTTTATTATAATTGTATTGTGTAATTTCTCATTGATGAGATATGCTAAGGAGAATGTATATGCTAAGGACATAAAAAGAATGTAAAAAATATAGATAAGGGCTAAAAAAAAGAAAAAGTGCAAATGAGATGAAGGGGCTTAAAGATAGAGTGGCTTAAAAAAAAAACATAATGGGCTTAAAGAGAGGGGGATCACCTTATGCAAACCAGTTATTAAGGTTGAAGAGAGAGTGGACGAGCTTAGAGAGCGAGGGAGTACCTATGCAAATCGAGTAGGCGGGTTGACCGTTTATTTAAGCGGTTGACCTTTTATTAAGTTGGGATAGGGCATAAAGACGCACACAACACGCGCGTGATAGATTTTTCACTTTCATTGTAACGTGTTTCATGATTTTTGGGGAAATATCGGATTATCTATTTTCAATTTTGTACTATAAAGTGTACTCAAACCATGGAAATGTCATATTTGGTCGTAATCGATAGTTTTGTAATAGATTTCTAAGTATCAAATTTACCCAAACTGTGGAAATGTCATATTTCGTTGTAATTCATCGTAATCGTATGTCATGTAATAGATTTCCAGGTACCCGAACAGCCCCTTAAAGTATTAAGGGTTTGTATATAAATACAATATTTATCTTATGTATATGAAAATCACAATCATTATTGTTTATCCAAAAATAAGAAGTCACAATTAATATCGTCTT